AGAGAGAGAGAGATGCTTTTAAATTACAGTTGACTTTGAGCCTATTTTCAGCTAAGTGTTTGGTGTACGAGATCAGAGCATATGAGAATTAGGTTACACGTACATCAACACAGTTACATGGGGTTCTTAAAGTGTTTCATCAACACAATGGTAGAAGAATATGTTTGAGTGATTAAGATATCTTTTACGCAATAAAAATGGTTAATTATTTAAAACGTTATGTGAGAAAAAATTATTGCATTATTATTTGTCCATTGTATTTATGTACCTATGCTACACATGGGCTCAAAAGAAATAGAGTAGACCATTCAAGGCCTGAAAGTACTCTCCTAAGATTTAAAAGATTCTCCATTGATGAAAATTGAAAAGATTTACTAGTCTAATCGTGAATTGGGAAATTAATGCAAATTTCCCTTATAATTTTTGGAATTGAAACAATACCCATCGTTTTAATTGTTTATGTGCATACCCATTTTTTCTCGTTTTTTTATACCCAAAATAACCCTACAGACCAATTAGGGCCCTCGTGCTCACTGCTCAAGAGCGTTACAACTCTAATAGAACTGTATCGTGACAGCTAGGCTTCCTTTGTGAGTGCGCTACGGTTCTAATTAAATATTATCACTCTCATGCCAATAAGTAAACCGCACAGCTTTGCCAAGGGTGAAGCACAGCTCTCGTCAATCTTAACTTCTTCGCCGGAGCTATTGGGTTGTTTTGGTTTCCCATGGTTTTCGTCATTTTTTCATTGTGCGCGTATTTCCAAAGAAGCTCCCAATTGACTGTCATAATGCATGGCGGGTATTTCCAAAGAAGCTCCCAATTGACTGTCATAATGCATGGGAATGCTGCATGAAAAATTTGACTAAGGATATTGCGTTGCACCACCATGATCATTCCCATTGTTCAAATACCGGATCTAAGGCATTTGACTTGTCATCTTACGTGTGAAAAAATTAGACATGCATGCTCACCATTATCGTTGGACGCCAGTCTATGACTGTGTGGTTGACATTTTTTTTTGAGAGAAAATTTTGAAATTTCCCCAAACATAGATTGTTTAGAGGATGAGAGCGCTATGGATCAAATCTATGGTTCTGTGAGAATCATAGTGCTCTCAAAAGTATAGTTGTTTATAGGGCAAGGGCACTACTGTTTGTAACACTCTAGAAATCCAAAGACCATCACCGCCCTAATAGGTCTGTAGTTTGGGTATTTTCGGTAAGGTCTGTAGCTTGGGTACTTTGGGAATGGAGAATTCAAGAAAAAATGGGTATGCACATAAAAATAACTTTTTTTTTTTTTAATTTCTACAATAATTACAGGTATTTGTGATAATTTCTCTACTAAAAATAGCCGGAGTCATTGTGGAGACTCCCTCTTAGGACCAATCTTATTAGCACTCTTTTTAATTGTTAAAAGTCCTTCCATTTTTGTGTAACTGTGAATTAATATTTAATATTTATAAGGTTTTTGTGTTACAATTTTAAAAAAAAAGTCCTTCCATTTTTGTGTAACATGGCTAGATGCCCTCGCACAATAAGAGGGTCTTCTACTTTTGAGTGTGACATTATAACCCTGAATTAATATTTAAAATTTATAAGGTTTGCGTGTATGTGTGTGTGTGTAACCGGAGTAGTATAGGCTTCAGTGGTCCTGGATATGGTCTGACCCTGGTTTCTCTTCTCCTTCAAGATGTGTTTACTTGTTAGCACACTAGAATCTAAATAGACATGTTGGTCACAATTGATTTTTAAGTCTATATTTTTTAGAGAGATTGATCTGCTTAGGGTGATTTTTAATAGCTGGATTCTTCTTAGCATAAATTTTCCATTCCATTTTTCTGAAGAAAATATTCCTAGTAGAACCATGTTGTTCAATATTATGGGACCATAGCTTATGCTCATGATTCGTATGGGTTATGTAGGCCATTGAGGTGGTTGATGTGGACCAGCAGACTAAAATGGTTCAAGAGCTTGATGGTCATGTCATGCGATGTGTACGTGATCAAAATGGGAACCATGTGATTCAAAAATGTATTGAATGCATCCCTCAAGATGCGATTCAGTTTATCATTTCATCCTTCTATGATCAAGTTGTTACATTATCCACTCATCCATATGGTTGCCGAGTCATCCAGGTATGGAATTTTTTTCTCTAGACATTTTATTTACTTTATTGTTGTTTTTTTATGCCTAATGGTATGCATTTCTTGTTGCAGAGGGTTCTTGAACACTGCAATGATGCCAAGACACAACAAATCATGATGGATGAGATTTTGCAATGTGTTTGCATGTTGGCACAAGACCAATATGGGAATTACGTTGTTCAGGTTTGTTATATTAAGCAGCCATATGTAATTTTTTAAAAATCATCCTTTGAGAGAGTCCGCAGGACACTTTGCAAGTCCATTTTATGTGATCCTTGATCAAATTGAGAGTCTCTTTCCATTAAAATGGAGTAATTGGTACCTTGTGGGCAACTCTGAGGCTCATGAGAACACTTCCGGTCACCTCCTTGGGAGTCGCATAATCCCAAGGAGCCCAAGACATGTTACACCATCGTCCAATTGACTCTCACAATGTATAACATGTACACTTGCTGGTCCAAGATTTGACATGTGAGCATCCATCTATTTGGCTTCAAGGATTTCAATGGAGGCTTATTAGTGTTTCAAAAAGTGCTGGTTGGCTCCTAGGTGGCTAGGGGCGTCTAGGCCACCCAGTGCGAGGCGAGCGCCCAGGGATGTGGACAGCCTAGGTTCAAAAAGGAGCAAGGGGTGTCGAGGATCCTGTTTTAGATCCAGATTTATAATCTAAACAAAAAACACCAAAAATGCCTCACCCGATGGGTATTTTTGCATCTAGGTGGCAGAGTCCCTCGGTCCTCTCCTAGGCATTTGAAACTTTGGGCTTTATTGACCTCAGCTTAGGGTAAGTATTGTGAGGATAGTTTGGTACTTTACCCCAAGTCCTTGAGGAGACGATATGTACTCTTATGTGTTGGGAACTTAGATGGATGGACAAGCCCCTTCTAATTATCAAGTCTCTAATCCTTTCATGGATGGGCATCAACCCAATCATTGCTAGAAAGTGCCAATGCAGAGGTCCATACTGGACTTACACCCATAGTGGAGGTCGTATGCGGTCAGTATGTGACTGATTAGCCACCCAAATGTCAACAAGCTTGGCGCATATGCAAGCTTTAGACTGGTCAAGTGAAAAATAGACCTTCAACCTTCTCAATATCTAGCAATTATAAAGTCTCTTTCCATAGTTGGAGACATATCCTCAATGCCATAAAATTGGCTCAAGGGTGAGTTTTTACCTTCTTGGAGAGTAGGAATATGTGCTTAAATTCTAAAAGAAAAAGAAAAAGAAAATGATTTATTTGAATCATCCGAAAATGGTAAGTCGATCCACATATTAACGTAAATATCCCTCTGTCTTATTTAAAAAGAGTCCCACCACATGTTTTCAATTTTACACGCAGGTTCTTTTTTCCATTCACCTCTCTTCCCCCCTCCCCCCCACCCCCCCCAAAAAAAAAGAAAAGAAAAGAAAAGGCACTTGGTTTTGGAAATCCTAGTTCCAAACGATTTGCTTATATGTTTTTTTAGTCTGATTTTGAACATGTCTAAAATCACCTCTTAAGAAAAGGGAGAATTTAGTGTGCTCCCATGTGAACTTAATTCATCCTAATTAAAAAAAAAACTTTGCCTTAGGTAAGAATTAATAGTGTGCTCCTAGAGGCACATATTGTAATTCAAGAAGTTAAAGAAAAAGTAAAAGGGTTGGCCGTTTAATTAGCCTATTTAAGTGGACTCCTCCAGGAGCACACTTTGCACCTGTTCACTCAAGAAAAATGTGAGTGTGTATATGAGTTATTTTTTTTTCTTTTTGAAAATTTGGTTCATGTTTGGAATCATCATCATCCTAGCCTTATCTACACGAATCCTGTTCTACCATTCTGCTTTATCAAGGCCCATACCTTTAGTCAGACCATAAATCACCATCTCTTCTCACTACTTCCATCAATATCCTTTGGGTTTTGCCCTTGCCCTTTTAAAGCCTTCCACTTGAACCAAACCACTCCTCTTAACCCGTGTTGCTTTATGGCGTTGCTGTATATGGCCTGCCCATCTATGTCTACGTTTCTTCATCTTATCGTCTATTGGAGCCGCCTATAAATTCCATCGGATGTATTCATTCTGAATTTTATCCTTTTTTGTTTTGCCACTCATCCATTTCAACATCTGCATCTTAGCTACATTCATTCTATAGAGATGTGGCTTATTGACCGTCGAATATTTTGTCCCATAAAACATGGTTGGTCTTATAGCTGTCCTATAATCTTCTCCTTCAGTTTCATTGATATGCGTCTATCACACAATTTCAGAAGCACATCACCACTTTGCCCACCCAGCTCTAATTCTATGTGGCATCTTCCTCAATCTCTATTCTCATGGATTATCGACCCTAGATATTGAAATTAATTTCTTTTAGGTACTTCTTGGCCATCAATTTTAACTACTACCGCATTCCTACTATTATATTAAACTTGCATTCATATATTGTCTTACAATGGCTGGTCTCATCAATCAAAACTATGTCATGTACTAACAACATACATCACGATACCTCATCCTATAGATGCCTAGTTCACTGGTCCATAACCACAACAAAGAGATATGGGCTCCATGCAGACCTTCTTTCACTAAAAAATTGCTTCTCTCCACTATTTATCCTTGCACTATTTAACGGATCACTCATGTTGATACATCCTCTAATGCCTCCCTTTTTTTCCAACAACCACCAAATTAATTCTTTAGGTGCCTATCATATGCTTTCTCTAAATCAATAAAGAACATTTGGAGGTCTTTTCTCTTCACCCTAGGCTTCTCAATCAATTGCATAAATAGGAAAATAGCATCAATTGTTGATCTCTCTGGTATAAATCCAAATTGATTTCTTGGATACACTCTATTCATGTCTTAGTCATTTCTCAATCACTCTCTTCCACGGCTTCATAGTGTTGCTCATAAGCTTAATACCTCAATAGTTCTTACAATTATCTGGTATTTTCTTTGTTCTCACCATCTTGTTCAACTACTTGGTCAAGCAAAATATGCCAATTTCTCCCATGCACTTACAAGCTCTATTGAGATATTATCTGGTCGTCAAGCCTTTCCTATTTTCATCTTTCTCAAAGCTTCTTTCACTTTAGATATCTTAATCCTACATATGTATCTATGATATCCGACTTCATTTATGTCAAAGGCTCCTCCTAATACTGTGATCTTATAGTGTTTGTCATTTAACAATCTTTAACTTTTCCACTTTTCGTTGACCTCGTCATCTTTTAACAAAACCCTATTATTTTCACTCTTAATGCATTTAACATGAGCTAGATCTGTGCGCTTCCGCTATCTCTTTTTTGCTAATTTTGATGGCATCTTTTTCACCTTCTCTTATCCCCCACTTGTCATATATATGTATATATATCATCATATGCCATAAGCTTAGGTTTATTGCTACTTTCTTAGCATTTTTTATTCTCCTAAGTTTTGATCATTTCTATTCCATTGCCAATCTTTATAGCATGATTGTTTTTTGCTAAATGTCTTTGACCCTCATCACTCCACCATCTAGTTCCAATATTTGAATGTCTTCTCCTTCTAGGTTCTCCTAAAACTTGTTTTGACACTTTCGTATTTCTATCACTCATCTCATTCCACGTAACAATAACTTCATCCTTAGAAACTTATTCCTAAATAAATTTATTTTCTCCCTTTTTAAATTCCACCACCTAGTTCATGGATACCTATTAAATTCAGTCCTCGTCGTTCATCTCTTTATGCAAACATCCGTAACCATGAACTTATGTTGCACGGTCAAACTCTCTAGTGGGATAACTTTACAGTCTTTACATGATGGTTAATCGGCCTTCTTAACTAGAAAGAAGTCTATATGGCTTATTAAATGTTCATATCTCTTTTTAGAGTAGGTTTTTGCTATTGCTAGGGCGTAAGCTGTAGCAAAATAAGAATAGCATTACCCAACTCATTTCTTTCCCTGCATGACTATTTAAGTCCTTCCCTTGAAAAAATCCTATCTCTTTTTGGTATTCCTTGGACTAGGCCATCCATGTCCTCCCAGAATTGTCTTTTAATTTTATCTAGTCTTACTTGTGGCGCATAGGTACTAATTATATGAATCATCTCCTCCCTTAATACAAGTTTAATTAATAAGAGCCTATTACCTACTCTCTTAGCATCGTTGTCATCATCATCCGAGCCTATTACCTACTCTCTTAGCATCTACTACTTATCCTTGAAATCTTTGTGTGCTATTATACCCATGACATTTCTATTATTATCCTTTTTTATATATTAAAGGTTAAATCTATCAATTTCCTTAGCTTTTACCTCGATCCACTTAGTTTCCTATAGGCAAGCTATGTTAAAGTTTCCCTCGTCTCATTGTATCCACTAACTTCATACTCCTTACATGTTAGAGTTCTTACATTTCATGTGGCTAAATGAATCCTATTATCTTGGATTAGCCTTTTTTATTCCTGTTCTTCCAAAATGGCACGGGAATCCTTGCCTACTTATCATTGCAATTGGATGTCGTTGTGTCTTGTCACTTCCAGGGGACACCCTAGTTAATCTATGCTCATTTCTCACAGCACCTGGATGCCAGTACAACACATTGCTTGCAAGAATAGCCTTAGCATGAGTATATAATATTGGTTAATGATTCATGAAAAGATGTGGCAATTATTTACCCTGGCTGCCGACCAAATATAACCCTCCTTCTTTCTCTAGGCTCAGGACCGACATGACCGACTTGGGACCGATCATGGCAGAGTTGGGATCAACTTTAAAATACTTAATGATTCGTCATCATCACCCAAGCTTTATGGCAATTATTTGGAGCTGGCTTATATAATCTTGTTTCTTTATTCTTCTCTATCATGAGCCACACTCTCAATAAGACCAAAAGCCGTCATATTTTATCTTACAACTTCTATCCATGTCCTTTTAGGCTTTCCCCTTGCCTTTTTAGAGCCTTCCACTTGTACTAAATCACACCTCCAAATCGGTGTTGTATTAGGTCTATGTTGCACATGGCCAGCCACCTAAGTCTACTTTCCCTCATCTTATCGCCTATTGCAGCCACTCCTAAGTTTCCTCGTATTCATTCCGAATTCTATTCTTTCTTGTCTTATTGCTCGTCCATCTCAACATCCTATCTCAGTTACACTCATCCTATGGATATGTTGTTTCTTGACCGCCCAACATTCCGTCCTTTAAAGAATGGCTGATCTTACAACTATCCTTTAGAAATTCCCCTTCTGTCTCAATGGTATGTGACAATCACCTAAAACTCAAGATGCGTACTTTTACTTCGCTTACCAGCACTAATTCTGTGTGTGATATCTTCCTCAATCTCACCATTCTCCTGAATTAGATATCGGAAATAATCTCTTTTAGGTATTTCTTGACCATTAATCTTACGGTGCGGTTTGTATAGAGCTGAGGCTCTAAACAGTCAAAGTGAAGCACACCTTCAAATAGTGTCGAGAGATGTGGTTTCAATATTGGAAATCTTTGTGATAACCTTAAAATATATTTTCATCTTTAATTATAAAATTTAAAGCTTAAAAAATAGTGTAGATCGAGTAGATCTATGAAAACTTGAAAGTCTTGAAAATTAACGGTAAAAAAATGTTACAAGATGCACTTTTACGAAAAACTCGAAATCCATTTTTTTCTCATCCCATGTATGTTGATGTCGAGATGATCAATTTGAAGATATTTGCGCATCAAAACAACCTCTTCAAGTGAAATTTTTGAGGTGGGCTCTAATTTGATTGTTTAGAGCCTAGGTTTTTCCTTAATCTTAACAACTTCCTCATTTTTACTCCTACTATTACTAAACTTGCATCCCATATATTCTTAATCTGGCTAATTTTTAGATTCTAGAACATCCATCCAACGTTCTAACTTTGCGTTGTCCTCGCCTCCAATCTCATCAATCAAAACTATGTCATCTGCGAATACATACACCACGGTACCTCGTCTTGTAGGTGCTTGTCGAACTTGTCCATAACCAAAACAAATGGATATGGGCTCAGCGTTGTCCCCTGATGTAGGCTCATGACCCCTGATGTAGGTCCATTGTCAATGAGAAGTCACTTGTCTCTCCGTTAGTTCTCTACACACTAATTAGCCCTCCCACGTACATATCTCTCACTATGTCTATATAACCTCTGGTGACTCTTTTCTTTTCCAACACCCACCATATTAAATCTTTAGGTACCCTATCGTATGCTTTCAATAAATAAATAAAGACCCTGTGGAGGTCTTTTTCCTTCGCCTTAAATTTATCAATCAATTGCATAAGTAGGAAAATGATTTTGATAGTTGACCTCCCTGACATAAAACAACTGATTTTTTTATAATGATCTTAAATGAATTAGATTTTCACTGTAATAAGCCATTTATTGAAGGAATAATGTTTACTGTGTGCTTCCTTGGGAGCATACTTTACCCCTCTTTCCTTAAGAGGTGATTTTAGATATTTCAGAACTTGATCCGAATCGGTCATTTTTGGGGAAAGAAAATGTAAATAATTGATTCAGAACTTGATGTTTTGAAGTGCTTTTTAACAAATTTTTTTTGTTGAAACATGAAATTCCTTGTTGAAAATTAAGCCAAGAAGGGAAACACCTAGTTTCGAAACTTTGTTCCATACGAGGCGTTTTGGGGAAAAATAGAAAAACACGAAAAAACTTACATGCGCTTAAAAATGAAACTATGTGGCACATTTTGTTAATACTGCAAAATAAAAAAATATTGATGTTAATTTCTGGTTTTTATTTTTCGTAGAAGAACAATGCAGGCTTGTAATCAACTTGAGAATTTTTACAAGTTACCGGGGTCTTGCAATTTAAGAAGTGACAAGTTCAAGTTGAGTTGCCCATTGTTTCATTTCATTTTGGTTTCTTTACTTTCATGTGGCGGTGATTAGTGAGTTTTATGGAATTTATGAATATGAAGATTGATTCATTGTTAACTGTCCTTAATCTGTAAATAATTTTCTTTGTCTTGGATGTTTGGTTGCTCACACCATATAGGGAATTTTGTTGAATTCATTGTGCAATTTGGTTGCACAATGATGTGCTTTGTCCTTAGAGATGGCAACTGATGATTTGATCACATTATATTTCTGTCATAGAGAGCTCAAGGGGTTTATTATCCTCCTTGCCTCGTACACGAGTGTCTTAAGTATAGTAAGTCAATTGCTTCTAATTTCGAATGACACATCCAAACATATCACTCACTCTCTCTAATCATTGTCATCCATACTCCACTTTCTACTATTCCATTCCTGTCCATCTCATTTTCTTCTAATCATTTTCATCCACCTCTCTTTCTACTATTCTCGTCTTGCTCTACCTATGATTTGTGTGTATTTTATTTGTTAAGTACCAAATGTGTCTTCCGCAACTTGTAAAGCTTTATGCACATGCTTTCTTGGATCAGTGCTTCCTTATGTCAATGATATGTGAGCTAGAAAAATTAAGAATCTGTGAATAAAATGCTATGGATTGTTCCTCCTGTTGTCGGGTTATGTGATAGTTTGTTGAATTTCTAATGACGCCTTCAGTATAATACCTTTTAAAGGTCTGACCCTACAAATAGCTGACTGTTGGGCAATGGAAGACAGTGTTTCTTACCAAGCTCACACGTGTTTCCACTTTTTGATGTATGTAAGGTCAGAACCTGGATTCCTACTTCCATAGGGCTGTTTACGATCTCCTCTTGGAAAAAAAAGGGTTGGAAAAAAAAATGTAAGTCAGAGGGGATTGGGCCCCTACCCGTTGGTGAGAATGGAGTCAGAGACTTCGTCATAAGGCTCGTTGATACTACTGCCAAGACCCGAGCCCATTCTGAGCGATCTTCTCTTGAGACAGTAATATCCTGCATTGGCACTTACAAAAGTAGCTTGTTGAACTCATTGTGTGTGCATACTGTACTTCTATGCCATGCATGGGCTGGCCAATTCTATGTATGTGCAAGCTTATGCGTGTCTTCTTTTGTGTCTGCCCTGAAACTGTGGTTTATAAGGAGTTGCCTTCTGTGAATGGCTCACATCCTGGAAATGCCAAGTCTGTTGAAAAATATCTTTACTTCTATATTCTTTTTATATGAGCCTGGTTACATATGTGAGAGGCTATGTTGTCATTTGCATGTATCAATTAATTTGATGATTTAATCAAGTTTCTCCTTGAATTAATATGTTGGATTTGGAGAGTTCTCTTGCTTTGTGACGTTTGTTACCACATGATGTCACTCTCTGTTAAAGAAGCAATGTGATAGCAAAATTTTATTAAATAGTTTTTTTTTATTTTAATTTTTTTTAATTTGCATTGATTATATGGTAATTTGGTCAATTGTCATTTACTCTATATGGGTGTTTGATTGTGACAATTGGGATTATGCATTGTTATTACGTGGTATGATGGTGGTGGTGGTAATGACGGTGCAAAGGTGGTGGTATAGTCTGCCAGTGGCGGTGGTGGCGATCCGATGGAAGTGGTGGTCATGGCGGTGGTGGCGATCCGATGGAAGTGGTGGTGGCGACGAGGGAGATAGGAAAATTTTTGCAAAACAACTTTTAGTAGTTCTACAAAAAATTCAATTTGGGAGCTCAATTACAATTTCAAATTAATTCATATTTGTGAATCAAACATCCCTTGAGGTCAAACTGCTGGTGTGAAATTCTCAAATAGGTCCAAATTACAATATGACCAGGAAATCAAGCAGTGCCTAAGTAATAGTTTTCCTTTGTTATGGAGAAGAATCACTCAGTTTGTTCCTCCCTTCTATCTACTGTGCCTTAATTTGGTAGTATTTTAATTTATGATTGGCTTGACCTGATGCGTATTTTGATATCGGTCTCACTTGGACTGTTAACAGCATGTCCTGGAACATGGGAAGCCACATGAGCGCTCTGCTATAATAAAAAAGCTGGCTGGCCAGATAGTTCATATGAGTCAGCAGAAGTTTGCTTCAAACGTTGTTGAGAAGTGTTTAATCTTTGGTGGTCCTGCAGAACGCCAGCTACTGGTTAATGAAATGCTTGGTACAACCGATGAAAATGAGCCTTTGCAGGTGTGTCTGGTCGTATGTATCTCAATTGTAGTATATCTTTTTGTAGTTTCATTGATGGTCTATCCACTAGTTGCATTGATTATCGTGATCTTTTTTTTTTTTAACATTTGGATGTGCTGTTATCCACTGAATGTTATGATACCGAATAGAATAGTCCTAATCTGTATAGGATTTTTTCTTTAAGCACATACTGTAGGACTGGTTCTTGGTTCAAAATCGTAAAAGCATGCCCTCACATGTGCATTAGATTTATGTTTCACTAGCTCTTGGAGGCTAGTGAACTTTGGGTGTCTGAAGGGAACTTGCTGGGATATTGTGCCCCCCTAATGGGTCTTCCTTATTTTACAAAAATACTTTTATCTACATTTTTTACTCAAGAAATAAATTTATTTGCTTATTAAAATAAAGATTGCTAATGTTTTTCCCCTCTGGCCATTGGATGTGGTAATGCCAACTAGAAATGGTTTTATGAACATGCAATTTTACATAGGATTAATTTTTTATCAATAGTCATATGGTGTAATTTTTTTTAGTAGTAATAAGCATATTCTGCTTATCAGATTGATATTGTTACAATGGTACAAACACCCTGCAGACCGTTTTTTGCACATCCCCGTGGTTTGATGCCACATTGGACACTCAAAACAAGTCCCTAAGAATCAACACATGACTGAATCTGATTCTGAGCACCTAACAACTAGAGTGCAACCATCCAAAATTCAAATTTTATTTCCGTCTAAAGTCCCTAGAGATGCAGAAGATCATTGGCTGAGGTTCCCTTCTTAAGTCTTTGGTGATGTTCACTGAAATCTCGTCTCCTCTCTGATGCCATTTGCCTAATACTGTCAGTTGCGTCATTGACACCTGTTACCAAATGTCCTGGCTACACAGACCCCTTTGATTGTCCTCTCACGTAACCAGGTGAAGTTTATGCCTTCCATTTTTGGCTCCCATAGGCATCCCTCTAGAAGATTACAAGCTTCTTTGCCTTCCCTCCATGCATTGGAGCAAGGGAAAACATCTTCAAATGCTGAAATTGCTCCCATAACAGCCTTCAATTCGGCCCAGGTGTAGGAGGGCTTGAGATCAACTAGGTCAATTATCAGGTTACGCAATGAAATCTAGGCATTGCTGTACACAATGCGTTCATGCAAAATATGGGAGCCCCAAAGAGCATGTCAGAGAGAGAGAGAGAGAGAGATAGACAGAGAGACAGAGAGAGACAGAGAGAGACAGAGAGAATGATTGCAATTTAGATCGAACTGAAATCACCTTCTTGATCTCTTGTTACCCTTTCAAGTGGCTAGGGCAATCCCTATAAAGTGGGGATCGGAGGGCCAACGTGAGATTCCAGGGTGGGATTGCCACCTAAGTTCGGGATTTCCAGTAACTATTGTTCTGACAATAGGGATCCCTAAGGTTAGTTTAACGCAGAACCTTAGCGAACTGCATAAAGTGCTGTATGTTGGCTTATTTGATTTTAGTTTCAAAACTCATGTAACACTAGTGGTGCATTTTTTCACTAAACTTCGACTGTAATCATTTTTTCCAATAAATACTTACTTGATTGGTGAAAAATGGTTTTTCATGACATTACTTTAATGAGAAATGGAACTACCAATGTGGGGGATAAATTGCCCAATGACTCATGGTGAAATGCCATGTTCCGTGGTTAAATCAATGTCTTTCTAACCCTGGAATTTGTATGCGACTTACAGGCGATGATGAAAGACCAATTTGCCAACTATGTTGTACAGAAGGTCCTGGAGACTTGTGAGGACCAACAACGTGAACTGATCCTTTCCCGAATTAAGGTGCATTTGAATGCTTTGAAGAAGTATACATACGGAAAACATATTGTTGCACGTGTAGAGAAACTTGTTGCTGCTGGAGGTTAGTGTAATCTCTCTCTCTCTCTCTCTCTCTACAGTGGCATTCTTAACCTTTTGTTGCTTTTGATCAATAACTTACATTGTTTTGTGACTTTTTGGGGTATCTCAACTATTTGATGAAACTGCAATTTATGTTGGCCATCGTATGGTTGCAGAAAGGCGCATTGGAATACAGTCTTCATACCTGTCCTAAATTGCATGGACATGTAATTGTACAGCTAACAGCGCTTAGTGTGAGCTCTCTCTCTCTATCTCTCTCTCTCTCTCTTTCTCTCGGCACAGGTACAAGCTGGATGGAAATAAATTTATTGTTTGTACCAGAAAAATGTACATTGTGTAGTTTGTAACGAGAATGTTAGTGTGGGGCACAGGCTGAGGCTCAGATGGTGAATAGCTGATATCCCTTAACAAAGGGATTTGCAGTGGAGATAAAAGAGTGTATAAGTTTTTAGAGCTGTAAAAAGAGAAAAAAGTAGTAAGTTGGTAACGTGACTGTACAAATTTCGCCGTGTGGAGAGGCTGTTGTCTTTTAGGTGAGGTGAGAAATTTTCCCCCTTCGGATAATTTATTTTTCTTAATGGCCTGGGCGAGTTGAGCCCAATGTCTGTAAAAGACATGTTATTTCAGTTGGGACCAAATATATCTTTTTAAGTTCATAAACTATGTGAATATGATGTTTGTCATCCTTTTATTCAGATCTTATTCTGTAGTTTTTGCTTTTTATTCTGGGATCAACTTGGGACGAAACATATTACCCCTGTTTTGGGCACTTAGTAAGAATGAACTGTCCAACAGGTGTTGGACAGTGGAGATGTAATGACTGTCTACCCTAGCTCCGATCCCGTATCATCCAATGCTTGTTGGATTTTGAATGCTCACTAGGAGGCATGATTTGAGATGCTTTATGGGAGTATCTTTCATATGTATTCCCTGAGTGTTTTGCTAGTTGTGTGTAGCTGAAACTTCTTTGCATATGACTTGCTACAAAAGTTTGTTGGACTTGGTATCACCCTCTAGTTTGAGGAACCCTGGAATCACTCGATTCCTCTTGTTTTTGAACTTTTATATTGCTAGAACAGGAATTCGTATAACCGATTTCAAATAGTTGGGATAAAGTCCGGATGATGACGATGATGATGATTTGTATGATGATCCAACTTGGGAATTGCTTGAATCAGATTGGGTTAATTGGAACTGGCATGATGTCCATTCAGGCCAAGATTCAGATTTTTTTAAATCGTTTGCCTATGATCATACGTTCTTATCCTGTTTACCCAATTGAAAGGGACTCCCAATGATTGCCCAAGTGCCAAGGGATTCACCCAAATTTGTGTTTCCAATTCTCAAATCAGTTGGAAGAAATCTTTGGAAGTGGACAATGTAGTAGATAAATTCACAGATAACCCCAGCAAACCATGCACACTAAATATACAATCACCTCAGCGCCCCAATGCTGCTGGAGAAGGGAAAGTACTACGGAAATGCCTTAAAAACTACTGTTTTATGGCAGGTAGGGAGATAAAGGATTAGGTGTTTTGAAGGAGTGTTAGCAGCTCTGGGAAGTGCAAAAGCTAAGATTTTGCAAATGGGATTGTGGAGTGAGTTGGAGAAGCACATGGTCTTTTCCACCAGAAAGATCCATTCGAGGATATCCTGGGCGGGAATACGGCCTCATAAAAGACTACAATGGAAGGATTATGTTGATAATACTCAAGTCCAGTTGAGGCTATAGCTAATGAGGCTGAGGTATTGGCTTTGTTACAAGGACTGAAATTATTGAGATAGAGGTCCTGATTTGTGCTGGATGGTGGAAGGGAATTCTTTAAACGAGATTAATTGGTGCAATAGAGTTGGGAGACCACCATGGAATTTGAAGGGTGTATGGATGGAAGTCTTGAACCTTTGTCGATCTCAGTTAGTACTGTTTATCTCATATATTTAGGAAGGTAATGAAAAGGTGGATATGTTGGCCAAAGCAAGGGGTGCATTCGGTTTACTTGGTTTTTTCTTCATCTGTACCATTGTAATTTTTTGTAATCTTCTTTCATTAATAAAATCATGTGCTCTTGTCAAAAAAAAAAAAGACATACGTAGGTCTAGTTGGTGTTCCAACAAGGCCTAGGTAAGAGCGCTCATTGGAGCTACGACAATTGATGGAAGAAATTCGTAGTATATGTGAGATGCTGTTTTTACTAGTGTTCGACAGATTGAACTGGACTCGAAAACTAGTCAAGGGCCCGGTCAGAGTAATCGGTAAATTGGCTGGTTCACCCGGCTTCATCTGGTAGGTCTAGGCTGGTTAAAAAAATGTTAAAAAAAAAGGTCAAAAATACGAGAGGTGCATTTAAAGCATAATTAAACAAAGCATATTAAAATGAAATTGAAAAGCAAAGAAAATGGATTTGTGCCTAGGGACATTTTAATAATAATCCAAAAAAGAAAGGGGATTGTATACAATGAGTATTTTCTTAGGTACAAGGATGTCACAATTATTTACAACCATATGATGTGATATGTGATAGCTTGAGTGTGTCATAAAGTTTGAAAAAATTTCTTTTGAACTTTGAGTTTGATCAATTAAATAAATGCAACCACTTAATTTCACATCCAATGGTCAAGATTAATTTGATCACCTTGTACCAAAGATAAATAGTTTCATTATATACTTAACCAAAATGAAAAATGTAAAAATAAATATTTATAGCCAAAAACAATTTGCCTAAATGATAAAAAAAAAACATTAAAAAACGCATTATAAACAAATCCCTTATCTTCTCAACAATTTTTGTTAAATGTCTAACATGCCCTGCTTTTGGAGATGTTCTCACAATGTGGCCCATGATACAAGTAGGAACAAAGCATCAAATTCGCCCTCCTCCCCCTCCACCCTCCTTTTTTTTGTTAGTTGAAAACCTTTTTTCCATTTTTAGAACTATAAAACAAATTCGCCCTCCTCCCCCTCCACCCCCCTTTTTTTTGTTAGTTGAAAACCTTTTTTCCATTTTTAGAACTATAAAACAATCAATAGTACTCAACTATACACTGATGATGAGAATATGAACTCCCAACCATTTATGGGGCCGTTTTTTATTTTGTGCCGAAGATACTTATAAAGCACAGGAAAAAACAAGTGAAATCAAAAGACATGCTACTGCAGCTACATGCGATATACCCCTCTAGTTATAGGTTCCAAACCCATAACATATTTTTTGGATACCAAAGATGCCTCTCTAGGAGAGATGACTCTCTTGGAATAGATATATCCTGGAATTGGCAAATCCTGGAAAACGGTGGAGAGCATATGGAAACTCTAACCTAAAATTTCTCTCTTGCAGCAACATTTCCTCTTGATCCATTAGTGCTAGAGAGAGAGAGCGCGCGCAACTACCTGCTCTGAAGGAAAAGTAATATTTTTCTTTATTTTTGATATTTTCACACATTTTCATTTTATTTCTTTTTCACTTTTTATTTTTTATTTTTTATTTTTTCTCCAAGAGGTTCTCTCCCTGGGAAAAGTCCCAATAAATTATGTCATCACAAAAATTTCTACAATTCAGATATGTATCATGCTTCTAAAATCAAAATCACCCATGAAATATCACAACAAAATTTATTTATTTAAGAGAAACTTCCAAGGTAGTAATCTATGGCTCCATTTCATACTCGTTGGAAATGCACTTAGCCAAGTAGAAAAATACAATTGCCACCAAAATAACATCCATCCTTTTCCTTAGCACAGAGAGAGGTACCTCAAACCTTTCAAAAGAACAACCCAAAAGAAGCTTATGACAAAGGCCCCAAAAAAAGAAAATATCACAACAAAAAAAATCATCGAATACAAGAAGCAGTCTTGAGATCTAGATGACATATGCAATGCTATTTGCCTCTCTTCACACACGTTAAAACCAAGGGCATAAAGTGTCTCACTAGCCTCATCCATAAAAACAGAACCCCCCAAAAAAAAAGAACGACAAATGTTCTAATTTAAGAAATAAGAAACTAATTGTCCAACTTGCCTTGGGTTTGGTTGCTAGCTTGATCGCATTAGTAACAATCTGCTACATTCTGTTTGATATATATAAGTGGAGTTCCAAAAATTTCAGTAGAATCTTGACATGTATAACCAGAAAAATGGTTCTCAAGTGTACTTTAGTTCATCATGTCACCATGGTTTTCCTGCGGACATGCATGCTTCATGGTTACATAACATGCAACTATACCCATCTTTCTTATCACTGTTTACAAGCATGATAAAAGCAATAATATTGGGTTGTTTAGGAAATGAAAGTTGAGTGAAATGCGTAGCTAGTATTGTGAGATCTCCAAGATCAGTCGCTAGAGAAATGCAAAATTTTTCATGGATCATGCATATGTTTGGATCTGACATGGCTTTCAATTGAAGAGGAATTCTCTTGGTCGTTATCAATTGTAGTGGAATTCCCTAGGTCCTTCTGCATAGAACATGCATCTATCGTTCTTCTGGATCAAGGAATGGTTGATACTACTAATTTTACATTAAAGTTCAAAAATTCATCTTCAAATTAGATGGTCTAGCCATAGGTTCCAAATTACATTTTGACAGGATATTTATCAACATGAACTTATTCACATTCTAGTTATGATTTGCAACATCAAACACAACTTTTATATTAAAAATAGTTAAAGGATAAGCATGTCTTGAAATGATTTATGGAACTCTGAATATATCAAAGTGCTAAACAACATACTTAAGGAAACAACGTACTAAAAACTCAGTGTGTCCCATAAACATGCTGGTCATAAACTTGCTGATTGTCATTAGATGAAATCCATATAGGTCTGAAAATCACACACAAGCATGAAAAAAAGTAGGAAAACATCTATCTATGATATAGTTATACAAATTTGTTGGTTCACATTAATCGATTATTCAAAAGAACTATGTCAATGCGAAATTCATTTGCAGGCATGAATGATTAATGGAAGTCAGTGAATCTAATGAAGCAACGAGGCATTGATCTATAATATGCCGTGCTTGAAGGATCAAAGGAGACCTATATTTTTGCTGGACCGGTCGAGCGAATAAAACTATGTTGGTCCGAATGAGATTGTTACTTCAAGGAAGTTATTTCTTGAGAAAATGCTAGTTCAATATAAAGATGAGCTCCGTTAGCAAGTTTGGCAGATTTTTCATACCTATTTCTTCATTGGTTCAGTCAACTTGTAGACATGGCATAAGATAACATTAAGTTGACAACTATCAACACAAATTAAGAAACTATCAAAATTATACCTCATGCATCAAGCCCCACTTGGATGGGCCAAATTTTGGGAGCATGGCCATCTTTTTTCCTCTACTATTTGGAGCGAAAAACACCCCCACTTGGTCAGCCCTATATTCATGGGCAACATAATTTTGTAACATTGTTTTTCAAAGAAATCCTGCCAACATAATTTTGTAACATTGTTTTTCAAAGAAATCCTGCCAAAAAGTTTGTGACCCTGCCAAAAAAAAGATACCTTTTTTTCATTTAAATGATTCACTCCCTTTATGGAACTGCACCCTGTCCAAACATGACCTTATACTTCAGCTGAAGACTTTTGATCACTAAGTATGAACTATCAAACAATATAGCATGTGGAACCTCCATATCTAAATTCGTCAAAAGTAATACATCTAGTTTTAGAACCACCTTTATGTGTGTAGTTAGGTTTCATTCTTCTGAAAGGCATTATTATTCATTTTCACTGATTATTGCATTATTATTCTTGGATCTATACTTTGATTCAGGTCTGAGTTCTTTTATTAGATTAATTTCTAATATTTCCAGAGAGGGGAAAACTAATTCCAAGTTACAAATATTTCTAAGTTACTACAAACCCGATTATATTATAGAACAGTCCCACATGAATAATTGTTCAATCAGCATCCCAGTTATCTCCTAAAAAGTATTTTGGTATTGGTGTTCCTATTCTTGCACTGATGCTTCTCTATGCACAGCCGAGCCTCATTATTTTTTGGTTGTCGAATTCCATTTTATGGCCACTTGGTCAATGTAAGGCTATCACTGAAAAAATACAAGTACCCTTTACGAATCTGTTTCTTCTCGAGAGATTCGTTTTTTGGTTTTTTTTTGGGTGAGTATGGATTTATTAACTTGAATCATTTTTTTCTTCTTTCTCATAGAAGGCGATGTTTCTTCTTTGAATCCTATTTCGAATTTTGTTTTTCTCTTACATGAGAAGCATGTTTTTTTATCCATCTCCATCAGCTTCAAATTCTTCTTTGGCGCGTGATATATTTGCCTAACTATTCATTGAAATTCATATCCAAGAGAAATAATTCTAGAACTAGAAGCACCATGAAATGCACAAATTTTGAGTACTCAACGTATGACGACCATTACCACGAGTTATACAAGGAAATTCAATAAAATGAAAATCAGAAAAAGCCAGTATCTTTAAGTAATTAGAAGCCTGCCTAAACTCTTTAAACTTTTCAAAGAAGGAAATAGATGTCTGAATTTACAAAAATGTACACAAGACACCTACTTTCGCATGAATAGATGTATCCAACAACAATTGGATATGATGAAAGAGAGAGAAACTACCTGCTCTTAAGGGGACCCTAATCTTCTTCCTCAACAATCTTCTGGCCAAATCCTCTAGGACCAGTTTTAGCCCTGACCTTCCCTTTCTTCCCATCCTTCTTCTTCTTGGCTGCCTCTTCCTTTTCAATCTTTTCTCTCTCTCTTTTCTGCAATAAATCTGTTACCGCAATGTACACAACCTGCCCAACAACCAAAAAACATCAAAGAAATCACTAAAATCAACTAAAAGTCTAAAACAGACCATTAGCAAACAAAACACCAAAAAATTACTAAATTACTGAAAACCCATAAAATAGTTAAGTACCAATAATATAAAAAACCAGAGAATTGTGGGGGACTCACCCCAATAGTGAGTATTGAGAGACCCACAAAAGCAATTAAGAGAAGGACAGAGATTATGAATGACCCACTATTTTCATCAGAGGAAACAATTTCTTGGGCCCCTGATGATTGGGTCTCTGTGGATATCAAAGCTTCTCCAGATTCAGCATTGGTCCTCCAAATTTGGGTTCCCTTTACTGATTTTTTTAGAAAATGAGATGGGTAGGAAGAATTCAATGGCTTCTGGTGTTTATGGTAGAGAGAGAAAGAGAATGGGATCTTGGGTTTGCAAGAGGAAGAATAATTCAATGCATACAGTGTGATATGGGTTCTATAATGAAATGGATAGGGGATGCATCGAGCAAATAGCATGGCCATTGTTCATATGAAACTTCCTTTGATTAATGAGTCATTGACATTACAAAAGGGAGATATTTTGTTCAGGTTTTTGAGTTTTCCAGCGTGAGGATCCGCATGAATAAAGCAGGAAGAATAATCCACACTCTCAAGCGGGGCAAAATTCCCATGTAGATAAGGGGTATAACTGTCATTATCCTAAGGAAGCATCATACTGTAGTCCTCTTGATCATAGGACGTATTTGTCACATGTAATTGGACGGTGGTGGAGAGAGTGGACCCGCAGTAACATGGTAGAGCCTTGTGATGGGTTTCTAACAACGGGTGGCAATTGTTGGGTCTGTTTGGGTTGACCTACATCTCGACCTGATGTGAACCCAACCCATCGGGTCCAGAACTTGGTCTTTGATCCACGTCCGGAACTTAATAAATTTCCTTTGAGAAGTATTTAAAAAAAGAGTACTGATCATATGAGACCCGCAGACACTCATGTGTGTAGGATTTCAAAGGATCATCATTAAATTTAACACACATCTTTAAAAAAATTATCTCATGGATGTGGGATTCGACTTTTTTAGAAATCTGTATCAAATTTAATGGTGATCCTTTAGGATCCTACACATGGGTGTGGGAGGGTCTCGTATGATCATTACTCTTAAAAAAAGTTATTTCAAACATATATGTACACTTATATATATGATCACTCATGATGCAAATAAAAAAAAAGGGTTTTTATTTTTTTTTATTTTAGATTTAGTATTATTTAGGTTTTTAGTTTATTTAAGGTTATTTTAGTATTTTTTGTTGTAGAGATTTGAAGGGTATAAAAGATATTTATTTTTAAATTTTATAGGAATGATTGCCTTAGATGATATGTAGTAATATTAGAAATTCAATATTTTAGTTAGAAAATCAAACCTTTCATAAATATGTAGTTAGAAAGATTATCTTTTTTATAAAAGAAATGCGTTTTAAAAAGAGACATAAAAATGTTTTTATCTATTTATTTTATTATTTTAATTATATTTAAAAGGGAAAGTCCTTTTTATCTAAACTCTATTTATAAACAGAATAAATATAAACATATAATTGGATTTGAGTAAAGAATTTACATATGGTGAATATATCTTTGGAAAAAAATTATATAAGGATGCAATCTTATAATGTAGAACTATGGATGCACATCAAAAAACCATCAGAAAAGGCAGTTTTAATGTTGAAAAACCCTTTGATTGATCATCTCGACATCGAGATGTATGACCATGAAAAATAAAAAGATTTTAAGTCTAAAAAGAAGTGCATTTTACAACATATTATCTACACCATCTATTTTCAAAATTTTCATATGTTTATAGATCTACTTGATTTTAACCATTTTTTAAATTTGAAATTTTATAATTAAATATAAAAATAAATTTTGAAATAATCCTAAAGAACATTTTACATCAAAATTATATACCATAATAAAATTTGAAGGTGCACCTTAGCTCTATAGCTACAGATGCATCCGTATGCGATCTGCACCCTATATATTTTGATTGGACTACCTTGCAAAAGAGGTATATTTTGTCACCCTTTATCATCGAAAAAGTTTATATCAGGTTACAACCTTAAAATGTTGAATTACATATGCACCTCAAAAATGATCGGTAAAAGTTGTTTCAATGTTGAAAAGCCCTAGAATTGATCATCTCAACATCGAGATGTATGAATACGAAAAAAAGGAAAAGATTTTGAGTCTCAGAAATAGTGCATCTTGCAACGCATTATCTAGACCGTCCATTTTCAAGATTTTAATATGCTTTATAGATCTACTTGATTTTAACCATATTTGGAGTTTAAAATTTTCTAATTAGATATGAATAGATTTTAAGGTAATCTTAAGATTTTTTAAGACAAAGTTACATGTTATGATAAAATTTGGAGGTGCGTAGATATTTTGGGGTCAAATTCATTTAGGGTCCACTCGGACCCAGATTCAACTCTGGTTCAGTGTTTTGGACCCAACACAATTTTAGGTTCAAAACTTAGAAACCACATCCCGACCTAGACCTGGATGGGGTGGACCCAACAGCCATGGCGTCGACCCGACCTATTGCCACCCCTAGTTTCTCTCCACTTGTACAGATTATATTTTTCACGATCTTCGAAAATGGACGGTGATGAGCGTCATGACCACATATGGTTTGTTTTTGAAGACTCTCGACCGACGGGGGCGGATTCATACTCGGGTCAATTGGCCGATTCAGAAAGTTGAGGGCAGAACGGACATTGGGATATAAATTGGGGATAGTTTCGTTGTTCTTTTTAACATTTCAATCGAAACGTTAGAAGGTTCACGTCGCCTCTCGAAACCTGCCTCCCGAAGCCTGACCTCCACATTCTTAAGCTTTTTGTTTGCGCAAACCTTTTAGGGCTTTTCTCGAGCTTATAGGGCGTTTCTAGTTGAAGTTCGAAGGAGAGCGATTTTCTAGGGTTTTTCTCGAGCGTTTAGTACTGCGATTGCTTCATAGAAATTTTGTAGTACAGGATTTTCTTTGAACTTTGGCGGCAATGGAGGGTGATGCACCAAAATGGGACGCGTTACTTAAATGGAGCCTTGCACAATCAGATGGTACTCGTCCTGCTCGAAGTCTTAGGTAACAAGTGCTTTTCCTCTATTTGCAACTCCATTGTTGAAGATGTGCAGAAGAATTTGTCAAAATTTATGTAATCTTTTTGTCAAATATGGGAGCAATCCATTGACCATAACGTATATCGTATTACACTGCTTTAGTTTCAGGATATCATGGTTTGCTATTCTAGGAATTTTACCTTTTGTAATTTATTTGTTTTTTGTGCTTTAAATGTTTGGTAATTGCTGGAATTTTGTCTGAATCTGGCCTGTTTTGTTCTGATGACTTATAATCTGTTAGTTTTGGTGGCCTTGTAAATGTGAAAAACATCGTGGTTGAATTTTAGGGTAGTGGCTCATACAAAGTTTGGAATATAGTATAGAAATCAGGATTTTTTTTTTTTTTTTTTTCAATTTTCTCATCTTGGATGAAAATTGGGGGGGGGGGAGGGATTTGAACAAGGGGGGAGAAGATTAGGAGATATAGAGAGGAGAGAGAAAGGAATAGGTTTCAAGAGATAGGCAGTGTACCTGTTCCCTTGGTAGCTCCTCCTTTTTCCAGACGGGTAATTTTTCCTTTTCAAGGGGAAAAAAAATCAGGATTAATTTTTCCCTTTGGATAGGAAGAATTTTGGAATATTCCTTGTTAGTATTTTTGGATTTGAAAAATATTATGTTGTGTTTCAAAATGGTATACCTTCATGTGTTGTTTTCCAACATTTTTAATAAATAGATGATTTTAGTCCCACATTGAAGACTGGAGTAGAGTAATAGTGGTATTTATATGGGAGCACTCTTACGTCTTCTCTTCATACAACAAAGGAGAGAATGTGGGCAATTGTGTCGAGCACGCGAAGTGTGCGCACACTCGCACATTGTTCACTTGTAGTGCCACTTCAAAGAGTCACCATTCACTCTATATATAGGTTCAAATTCCATATTAAATGACTCCTTGTTCTAGACTTTTGCGAACCCAATAGTCACATGGCAAAGTGAACATTTACAACTTTTCACTTATAGAGCCGCTTTAAATAGTCACTATCCACTCTAGATATAGAAATCTGAATTCCCTATCAAATGATTCTTTTTCTCTCCTATTCTCTGTCTACCCGTCTCACTTTCTCTCTCTAAATTTGAACTTTCTCTCTCTACAATAGCACTACTTTGGTGCTTACAGTAAGTTTTTGGTTTGTCTGCATACAACTCAGAAGCAAATTGAGACCTCCTGTTTTCTTGTATTCCAAGGACAACTTTGCCCATTGATTACAGTATACAAAGGGGGCAAATATTGTCATGAGAAAGCTCTACTCTGTGCCTGGAGACAAGAAGGAATTTGTATATTTTCTGTCTTAAATTCACCTACACTTTCAATGTTCCTGATATTTGAATGCTTATTGGAATCTGCTTCTAATATACTTACAATTTTTTAGCATAAAAATACATAGAACTATGAGGAAATTTTACTACTTTCAACCATAATTTTGTACGTAGCTGCAAAAATTAGGAGCATAAAGGCTGACCCGTATTAATTTAGTGAAACTAAAGACTGAAATATTATGGTCCTTAATGTGGCCAGATGCAAAAAATAATTTTATGTTGTTCTTTCTGTAATTTAAAACAATTTTAATGAATAAAAATCTTGTAAGTTGCTGATGGATTTAATCATGCTTATAGCCAAAGCAGTGTGTTTATTTCAAGTTGGAGTTATTACATTTTTCAATAGTTAGGACCTGTGGCCTATTCTTAGTGTCCTTTTTTGTTTAATTTTTACAAAAAATGGCAATGCTTTTTCAACATAATATAACAATTGAAAATTTTGCATTTTTCTGGGCCCCTACTCTCGTGTATTGTCATGAACTTACTCCCCATATCCATAAAAAAATCTAGTTTGGCTGTCCTATTGAGCACCCAAAATGACAAAAAGAAAAAGACGCCTTAAGTCTGGCTTTTCCAGTAATTTTTAAGGAGTCCCCATAAGCAACTATAAGTATGGGGGAGAGACTTACTTTTCCGTTAACCTGATTTAGACTTTTGTCCATTATGTGATAGAAGAAATCAATGCTTTCATACTTATTTGGTGGTTTTATTTTCTATTTCTTCTGATCTTATCAAAGTATATGATGAACCCAATGTGATGCTTATGGTGGTTGCTCTTGTAGCTTCCATCATGCCAAGGTTCAAGTATGGAATGTCATGGAAAGTAGGAAATTGGTGGTGGCAGCCTCTCAGAATAATGTAAAAGTAGGAGAGTCATAGTGCTATTATAGCATGCTTCTAATGGCATCATCTTACATTCATACAATCAAAACGTCTATTTGAATCAACTTTTTTATCATAGATATGTTTGTTTGAGGAGCAACTTGTATGTTTCTACAAACTTCCTTGGTTTGAATTTAATCTTTATATTTGTAGTGAGGAAGATCGGAAATGGTTTATGGAGTTTCTACAAACTTCCTTTAGTTTGAATTTAATCTTTATATTTGTAGTGAGGAAGATCGGAAATGGTTTATGGAGGCCATGGAAACCAACACTGTAGATGTTATTAAGAGAATGAAGGAGATCACTCTTGTAATGGAAACTCCGGAGCAAGTTTTGGAGGCTCAAGGTGTCACTCCTGCGGATCTTGAAGGTATATATGTTTAAATATATGTTGAAACACGTTGTAACTGTTTTCTTCTTTTCATTCAACAAGAGATTCAATGGGCATCGTTTAAATGTCCAAAAGTTTAAACATTTTCTTACCCGCGTTGCACTTATTTTGTAGGAATGTTGGAAGAGCTACAAGAACATGTCGAAGCCATAGATATGGCCAATGGTAAATCCTTCTTATCCATTTCTTTTCTTCTGATTGTGCAAATTTTGCATATTCATTGATAGCAGAGGACTAGGAATTGTTTTCTCTGTACTCACTGGAGAAATTTGCATTCCATTCTCTAGTGACAATGATTGTTTCTGTAGAAATTTGACAATGCATTTGTTACCATTCTGGAAAAGATAATTCATTCCTTGCCATATTGAAGAAATTATCCTCTTTGGTCCCTAGGCATCATTTTATGAGGAAGCATAATCTAGGCATGGAATGTATGTAACCTTTTTTTTTTTTACATAATAGAATTTTCTTTTATATTTTTTGTTATGGTCTTCTCTGCGTGCCCTATTGTACATTTGGTTCATTTGGCATTTGGATCTCTAGACCATGGACCATACTTGCTTTGGTTGAAACTAATTACTAATTTCTATTGAAACCTGTGTACATGTGTGCATGCACGTTTCCATATGCATATGTACGTGCTTGTATACAAAAGAGAGCAATAGAGATTTATAGTTAACCATGTTCATGTCTAGGATGGTTGAGTGTCAGGAGTGGTTGCTCAATCTCCTGCGTCTCTCCATGGCATTAACCACAATACCTTCATCTAGAATCTCATTTGATTTAAAGAGTTTTTTCTTGGGTTGCTCTTAATTCTATTGTTCATCTTATCAATGCAGATCTTCACTCAATTGGTGGTTTGGTTCCCTTGCTTGGCTATTTGAAGAACTCTCATGCTGCTATTCGAGCAAGGGCTGCTGAAGTTGTAACAACCATTGTGCAAAACAATCCAAGGAGTCAACAACTTGTGATGGAGGCAAATGGATTCGAACCTTTAATCTCAGCTTTCACTTCAGATCCGGACATAACAGTTCGGACCAAAGCACTAGGTGCCATATCATGTAAGTGTTTGCTCCATCTTTTATATACTTATAAAAGAATACTTCCAGTTGCTAGAGTTTGTGCTAGAGCCTCACTTTTTATTTATTTATTTTTTATTGTGAGAATTCATTTGTAAAATGATGGGTGCCAATTTGTAGGTAAATGACACATTTGTAGCTATGAAAAAAAAACCTCAAGAGAGGAATTTATTTATTTTCAATTTCGCTAATATCTTTCATGTGGTGCTTCTAGCTTTGATTCGACACAACAAACCAGGCATTACTGCATTTCGTTTGGCCAATGGTTATGCTGCACTAAGGGATGCTTTGAGTTCAGAAAGTGTCAGATTCCAAAGGTATGTTTTCCAACCCTTGAGGATAAATATATTATATAATATCCTTAATCTCTACATATTATTCTTGGTTGCAGCAGAATGTAGTGATAGTTTCTCGTAGGGAGCTTGGTCAATATATAAGGAATTCATAGTAGCATTGCATGGATTCTTCTAAGAATCGGACACTATTTTTTTTTATTAGTGAATGGATCTTTCATGGCATTTTGTGCTTATGCTTCATTGAGCATCTAGTTTTACCGATTTGGGGTGCCGCCCTATGAGTGGTGTTATAATTTCATTTTTTTGGAGGGTTGGTTTTTGAGATTCTCAATGAATTGCAAAACAAAAATTTTGTCGAAATTTTAGGAAAACAAAGGAACTGCTCAAGCTCTACAGAATGAAGTTCTACATAATTATTTGTTGAAAAAAATTTACAAGTGAATAAGACTGTTAATGTCATATGGATATTATGAGAAGTCATATCATCATGGAGAAATAAGTATCGTATTCTAAAGATCCATTGATGTTTTTGTGTGATTTTATGAAAAATTGCCAACGTTGATGCATTCATTCTACAGAAAGGCTCTTTACTTGATTCACTATCTACTGCGAGAGAACAAGGCAGACCATAGTGTCGTGACCGAGCTGGGGTTCCCCCGAATTATAATGCACCTAGCCTCAAGTGAAGACCCCGAGGTGAGAGAAGGAGCCTTGCGAGGCATCCTCGAGCTCACCCATGGAGGCGGTGAGGGGCTGAATTCCACCAGTCTGGATGGGGTAGATGACAAGAAATTGAAGCAAATATTAAGCGAACGCATTGATGGTATAAGATCAATGGAACCTGAAGAGTTAGGGGCTGCAAGGGAAGAGAGACAATTAGTGGACTCTTTATGGCAAGCTTATTATGGGGAGCCATCTTTGCTTAGAGAGAAGGGGCTTGCGGTTATGCCTGGTGATAGTGAGACCAATCCACCACCTGATGTTGCTAGTAAGATGTTTGAGCCACCTCTAAGGGGTTGGGCCTCCAAAAGGAAGGATGGTGAGAAGAAGGTGGAGGGTCCACCTTTGTTGTTGGGTTTTGGCGGTCCGTCACGCTCAGTGGAAAGCACAGCACTGGTGCAAAATGGAAGCAGTCTTGAAGGGGGTGAGGAGGACAGGGTGGTGGACTCAGTTCAGAATTCCCGGACATGATTCTGATGATCACCCAAGTAACGGGTATTGACCATGTGCTGGGGAATTTATGCAAAATTCCATACATCATCCCTTTCTCTTTCTACTAGAGTTTTGAAGGGAATCATCCGTCTTCTCCTCTCATATTCTCTCTCTGTGAATGGTGATCAACATGAAACAGATCTTGATAAGGTGCGGGGGAAACTAATGAAGACTTCCATATATAACTCGCTCCTCTTTTTTTACTAGAGTTCCTACAGTCTTTATATGGTGGTAGAAATTTTGTTCCCATGGTTTTAGTCAGGATAGGATGTAGTTTGTGATAGATGCCATTAGGGCATGGGTTTTTAATATAATTTGATTTTGAATAGGAGTCTCCATTTGATTAGGGAGGGGACCCTGAGTTACTGTAAATTATGGAAGTGAATACTTTTGTCAAATTCAACTATGTTCTTGGCTTTTTAGTTGTAAAAAGGTGGTTTAGTCAAATTTTGATTTGCGTTATTTTGTTGTTTGAGGGTGATGGATTCTATGTATCCTTCTCTTGTAGAAATGGAAAAAGTTCATACGAGGTTGCAACCTTGTAACGGGCCATTTGGAGATGAAAAAAGGGAGGTATCCGAAACCTCAAGGACGAAAAATACACATTTATTCCGTCTTTTCTCCTTTATTATCCCAAAGGACGAAATTCTTTTTGTTCTTCTCATACTTCAGTTATCTCATATTTTTGGTCGTTGAATTTTATCTGTGGCATTATGTGGAAGCAACCTTTTCCTTAGCGGTGGCAATGGACCCGGACCCGACCAATACCCACCGGTATACCCGACACGGGTACGAGTATGGCTCCAAGTTCCAGCCCCGTGGGTAGGGTCTGGGTCTAATAAAAGATACCCATGAAGTCCTGTGTCCGGGTATGGGTGTTGATATACCCGACCTGGTGGCTTCCTGGACCCGATTTTTAGTTTATTCATCTCTAGCTTTTTTTGAAGACATAGGTCTCTCTAGATCTCGAATCTCTTTCTCACTGATCGCCCACCCGCCTACCCTTCAAAAATTAGTTTTATGTTGTTCACCATTGTAGGCTACAAAAAAAAAAGCTCATAGTGAGGGTGGCAATGGACTCGGTACCCAATGGGGTAGACCTTGAGACCTGGCGGGATAGACTCGGGGCCCGATGGTTACGGCATGGGTCCAACTTCTGGACCCAATGGATCGGGTCTGGGTTCGGGTCCAGGTCCATGTCCAGACGGACCCGACCCATTGCCGCCCCTACTTTTCCTCTTTAAATGTACGGCGGGCTTTTCCTATTGGGTTTCCCTTTCCAACTTCTACTGTCATTTTTGTATCCATTTTGAATGATTTTCAAAGAAACATTTACAATTTGAATGATTTTCATTTACTTTCAATTTTGGATCGATTTTGAATGATTTTCAAAGGGGAAAAAAAAAAAAAGATTTTGAGTTCCTCAACACGGATTCTAAATTTCAAATTTTGCGTGGTTTTTTATAAATTTCACGACTGAAGAGGTGAATTATTATTATTAGTGAAAATCACATACACACGGCTACATTGGAGTTTTCAGGCGTGTCCACTGCTGCATTTATTACATCCAATACCGTGTTAATGTTTTCATTTCTGTTTGCATTGACATCTTTGGCCCGTTTTGGATAATAATACGCGTCAAAACTGTAAAGGTGAAAAATTAGTTTAAAGCTATTTTGTATGTAAACAGTACACGTGAAAAATTAGTTTAAAGCCATGTTGTGTGATAAGTGAGTTCCCAAATGCAGTGCTGAACCGACATTAGGTACAATTTGTTTGTCAAAGTCGGTCTGATACTCCAAGTGTCCAACCAATATTGATTCGAAATTTTATTGTTGGTACCATGGGTTTGGAATAATATTGTCAAAGTTGGTCTGTTGCTCCAAATGCTGAACGGACCTTGATTCAAAATTTTATTACCAAGGTCAGTTCGACACTCCCAAGTTTCGAAGTGACCTCTATTCAAAAAAATTTCAAGGCCCTTGGAATGTTGGATGGACTTTGGTTGGAAATTTATTTTGCTGAGATCTGTTTGGCACTTCAAGTGAAGCTGATCACGACTCAAAATAACTTCTAAGAGGTCCATTCGGCTCTCCTGACCACTGACTCAAAATAACTCCTAAGAGGTCCATCCGACTCTTGGAGTGCAGGACCGACTTCCGTATGAAAGGTTTGGAAATGAGAGGTGAAATGGGCAGGAAACTAACGATGTTTCAACTTTTCTTATCCCAAGCACGATATATAGTTTTTTTAAGACAAAACATTGTTTCCTACTGAAAAGTCAATTTAAGATATTACTAAACCAATTTATCCTGAGGATACAAATGATTGAAGAAGCTAAATGCGGAAGTAGTACAAAACCTAGAGCACGCACTAGAGTTGTCTTTCATGGAGAGAGAAGAGAGAGAGAGAGTACATAAAATTTCATACATAAAACTTGGGTATAAAATTTCATACGTAAAAATTGGAGGAGAGTAGTCCCCCATTTAGAGAGATATTATTCACCTCGTGCGCATGAGGATAAAAGTGAATAATAGCATCTCTTGGTCATCGTCGGTGTGGTGCATCTCTTCGAGTGTAATTGCTGCGATGGTGCACGATACACATGAGTGCACCATTCCGGCGAAACCATGCACACATTTGGTAGGAATCAAATCAATAGAAGATTCTAGAACCGGCACACGTGCTTTTGCTAGGGACACCTCATGTGCCATTACGAAAATATATAGTGTAAAATGCGCCTTCAAAGCCTTTGCGCTCTCGCACATGTACATGTGCATACACATGTGCGAGTGTGTTCTTTATCGGTCTAGGTTTTTTCTTCCTTTAGTTTTTAAAAATACAAGTTAAGATAATAAATTTATATTCAAGCAACCTTCTATCAACCATATCTTCAATTCAATATGAGATAAATAATAATAATTTCTCTTTACAAATAAGACAAAATACAAGTTTCACTATATTACACTTTCCATAATGCTACGAAGCTAGAGGGTTATTATTTTGAAATCATATTGAGCATTTTCAAGGGAAAATGCAACAATATCTACTCTATAATATGAAAATATTTTGTGGCTGAAATCTTGTTGATGGTCCGCCCCTCCTTTCTCAATTTTGTCCTTCTCTGTTTCATGGCTTCAGCAAACTAGTGGGTGAAAGAGATTTCTTTGCGCACTTCAATTGTTTGACGAAAGGCCTCCATCAATTTTTCAAGTATCTCATAAAAGGGGGTCTAAGGAAGTTGGTAAATCATTAACTCTAATAAAACCGTCAATCCACCAAGCTGAAATCTAATTTAAGATTTTGATTTATTCTTATTGCTTTTATTTGCATTGCATTCTAGATCTACAACTCTAGCTAGCTTAACCTACACAAATAAAATGACATCTAGGTCGGTGATGACAAAGCTATCAACACTAGATAAACTGAATGGAACTAATTTTTCAATGTCGCACAACAAATAGGTTACATCAACTTCCAAGATAGAGTAGATTATGCCAAGGATCAAGCTAGAAGGTGATTAGACAAATGGCTGGAAATCAATAAAATAGTTAGGACCACAATGTCTAGTTTCATGAAAGATGACTTGATTATGGTATTTGAAGTCTACACCACAGCTCAAAATATGATGGGTGCCCTATCTGAGAAGTATGCTACCATTTCTGAGACCCATGTCCAATTCCTACTTGAAAAGTATAACTATGTGTAAGATGAAGGAAACATAATTAGTGATTACGCATGTCAACAAAAATGACGGCGCTTGCAAATGACCTTGTCGCGGTTGGAAATCTAGTCCCTAACCACATGCAGGTGCCATTATCCTTTACAGTCTCCCTCCATCTTAGGAGCATGTTGTGATTGCTTTGAACTACTCTACATAGGGCATCACCATGCTAAATCATCCCATACACCTTAGTATTGAAACTGAGAGGAAAATGAGAAAAAAGACAAATGAGCTCAACTTTGTTCAAAATTCATCTTTCCAAAACCGTAAGAAACCTAAAAAAAATGGAAACAATAATAATAATAGGTATAAGGGAGAGGAAAAAAATTCCAAAAATCAAAAGAAGCTTGATGATATGACATATATTTACTGTATGAAAATTCGGCATATCAAGGTTAATTATCCTAAGTTGAAAAAGAAAATTAGGAACCATAATATTTATAATACTTGGAATAATAATCAAAATAAGATAAATGACTTTATCTGTATTACCAATGTTGACCAGGACTTCAAGAATTGGTGGATCGACTCAGTTTCCACTTCACATATGTTGAGGACTAACGACAAATTCACAGAGTTAAGGAAGATCACAACCAGTAACTAAATTTTTTTTATGGGGAATGACACCTGTTATGATGTACTTCGTGTCTACAAGTTGTGTCTACCTGGAGGAATGAGTATCTTACTTATTGATACTTTGTATGTTTCCAATATTAGTCAGAATTTGATTTATATTACTAGGTTAGACGATAAAGGATATGAAATAAGTTTTAGGGTCAGTTGTGCCATCATTGGTAAACGCTATCGACTATTGGTGTATGGTATTAAAATTAACAATTTGTAACAGCTATATATTAATGAAAATTTCTCTTATTCTAGTTATATGGATGCTTGCTATTATGCTTATATTTATCTGCATGATTCATATTTATAGTATTGAAGATTAAGTATAATAACGATACAATGAACATAATGGTTAAAAGAGGCTCAATTCCTAACTCATAAATCGTTTTCAAAACATACAAGCAATGTATATTTGGTAAATTAACGAAGAAGCATTTTCCTAAAGAAAAAAAAAGTCTAATGAACTTCTTTATATTGTATGCTCTGATATATTTGGGCCATTAGATATGAAAACACAGAGATATAGCATATTTCATAATATTTATAGATGATTATTCTTGTTATTAATATATTTATCTAATAGTAGAAAATCAGATGTGTTGGAAACATTTAAAGAACATAAAGCTGAGGTAGAAGATCAGCTAGGTAGACATATTAAAATTCTTAATACAGACCGGGGAGGTGAATATTACTTTGACTTATTTGCTCAATTTTATAAGGAGCATAGTATAATGCACCAAACTACTATGTTGTGTACATTACAATAAACTAGTTTAGCTGAAAGAAGAAATAGAATTCGATTTAACATGGTTAGGTCTAAGACAACACTGCATTGTACATTATTAACCGTGTTCCAACCAAAGCTATAGATTTAGCCCTTTATGAATTATGGATTGCTGGAAAATCAAACCTTAGTATATTAAAAGTCTTGGATTTTTGGACACATATACTTATACTACCACAAAATGAAATTACAAAATAGAACTATTGAATGCTCCTTTATAGGTTATTCATAAAATTTTAAAGGGTTCAGATTTTATAAACATGATACTAGATTCTTAATAAAAGAGTTGTGATGCTCATTTTAAAAAAAATTATGGATGATAAATGTACATTAAATGAGCCTATTGACTTATATGAAATTGATACCAATAAGGGTCTTGAAGAACCTATTACTCTGTCTCCCTCTACA